TGGCCAAACCTACCCCCACATAGGCCGGCCGGTCCTAGCAGCTCTTGGCTGAACTGGTTCTGCCCTCCCAAAGGAGCCCCGCATCATAAAATTAGCAATGAAGAGTTCCCCAAAGCGTCGGAAGTTGTTGAATGGAATAAGGGAATGATGCTGCTCGTGTTTCTGCAGAATGTACTTGGGATCAGAGGCATAGGCTTCAAACTAGTATTTACATTAAAAATAAACTTTTGGGCATATTTCTTTGAGAAACCAACAACAACAACAACAAAGCCTTAATCCCACTACGTGGGGTCGGCTACATGAATCCTTTTTCTCCATTGCGTTCTAGTAAATTAAGAATATTTTGCCAATTATGACTATTATGAAGCGCATAAATTGAAGTTTCACTTAAACAGGCCTATGGGATGTTTCATTTTATGGTTAAGGCCAAACCTACAGTGTTAGGAGAAGGCTATTGATGATGCTCATAATTGTGTTACTGTTCTTTTATTTAGTTGCTGTAATTGTAATGATGTTGCTGTGCTTTTTTGTGGCTAATCATAAATCAGTCAAGTTTTTTTGTCCCTCGTCTTCTTGATCTTGTACAGGTTAGGTATCCAGATCGTATAACTCTCATTCGAGGAAATCATGAGAGCAGGCAAATCACTCAGGTTCATATTTCAATAATGTTTTGAAGTGGATCAATCTTCAATTCAAGCATTTCACTATGATTCCTTTTAAATAGGTGTATGGGTTTTATGATGAGTGCCTCCGGAAGTATGGTTCTGTGAATGTTTGGAGATATTGCACAGATATTTTTGATTACTTAAGGTACTGCATCGGCTCTTCCTTCGTAATGCAATTTCATGAACAGGAGTATCCGTCTCCTTGGTGCTTGATTGTATTGATGTCTATGTTTGTTTGAAGTCTTTCAGCACTCATAGAGAATAAAATTTTTGGTGTTCACGGAGGTTTATCACCTAACATAACTGCATTAGATCAGGTAAGTTGAGGCTTCTCTTTTTATTCTTTCTTCAGCCAAATATGTTGGAGACTGATATTTTGATTCTCCTATGCAGATCAGAGCAATAGACCGGAAGCAAGAAGTTCCGCATGATGGAGCTATGTGTGATCTCTTGTGGTCAGATCCGGAAGATGTTGTTGATGGCTGGGGTTTAAGCCCTCGAGGTGCAGGATTCTTGTTTGGAGGAAATGTTGTCTCCACATTTAACCATTCAAATAACATTGACTACATATGTCGTGCACATCAATTGGTGATGGAAGGATACAAGTGGATGTTCAATAACCAGATTGTCACTGTTTGGTCGGCCCCAAATTATTGTTACAGGTATTTTCTGACGATTACAGCTTTAAAAGAGCAGCAGTGCCTAAAAGTTTCTACAATCTAAAGTGATATGGGTAATTTTAGAAATTAAACTATAGAAAAGAATTAATTTGAACAACACTGTCATCGAAGGCACTCTAAGCACTCGCCTTGGTGCCCATGCGAGGCGGAGCTATAACGCCTTATGCTCCTCATTGGCTGAACTTATGCCAAGATGCTGCTTACGCAAGCTCCTTGATGTAAGGCGCTATGCAATGAGATCCCCACTTATTTAATATATTTTTTTTGTTATGATTTAAAAGTATATAAAGCATATTATGTAAACGGGAACATTTATTGGAGTAATAAATATGATAAAATGTCTGAAAACTCCTAAAGTTTATTCTAGATATATATTGGATTATAAAAATTTGCACGCTTTTGCTTATGCAAGTAGAATCATAATTTTTGAGCTCATCATGTGATCCAGAATGTCATTGATTCAATCGTTGTCATTAACATTGATGATAGTGTTGAGTGGTTGATAGTAGAGTCAAGTTCACCCAAAGCACAATAGGGAAAGTAAATATTATTATTCCGAAGCAAATAGGGTTACAATCCACTTGAAATAGGAAAACAATGATGCAAATACAAATATCCCTTAGGGCGAGGCTTGAAGTTGTTGGGCTGCGGGTCGAGATGGTGGAAACCAAGAGCGATAGATGGTCGGGTTGCCCCAAGATAGCTAAGAGAAGGCTATATGACGGTTAAATAGAAAGCATAAGAGGGTTTGAAGGGGCGGCAACAAGCAGGGAATGGGCTGAAAGGGAAAGCAACACGCAGGGACGGGGGCCGGAAGGGGCAGCAACAGGCGGTAAGTAGTCTAGAAGGACGTGACAAGAAGCAGGTCGACATTTGGATGGCAACAACATGCAAGAAAGGGGAGGCTGATAGTTCCATGCAGTAGGTAGGAAGGTGGGGAGGGGGACAACAAAGAGTAAAAGGAAGGATACAGACCACCTCGGAACAAGTTACAACCGGAGCACCGTCTCATCGTCAGATACAATTCTAAGAGGAGAAAACGGGACGCCAAAGGCTGTCTTGATAGAAATTTCAAAGCAAAACTAGACATAAAATATAAAAAGCCTATAAATACTATTAGGTGACTAAGTCGGTTTCAATTATGTTAGGTGGAAATTTCAGATTCTCAAGAGGCCGGTCGAACTCCCGTTCCACTTCTGGACCGGTCCAATTGTTCGGTTTAGGCTTCCCGCTCCCACCACTTGTCTTCACACCCTTGCCATTCTAGCATAGTTGGGGGAGTATCGTCCTCATTTGTTGAATCTTCTGTGTCCTCGTAGTATGTAGGTAAATCTGCCACGTTGAAGGCAGCCAAGATGTTGTAATCCCCAGGTAAATCAATCTTGCTCGCGTTGCCATTCAACTTCTTGAAGATTTTTAAAGGTCTATCTACTATGAACGATCGTGGAGGAAATTTTTTTCCTTCGGTCTGATCCACACTAGTTCTTCTTCTTGGAAGGTCATCTTTTTACTGGATTTATTAGCTTGCTCCTAGTAGTTTTGATTATGTTTGTTGATCTCTTTTCTAATTTCCTCGTGTAGCCTCTGAATTTTTTGTACTCTCGACTTAGCATCTCCGCTAATCTCTAGTAGGAATAACTAGTACTAACTCAAGCGGAGCTTCCCGTAGTCTGCCTTAGGATCTGTTGTAGGCAAATTCGGCCTGGGCTAGTAGCAAATTCCACTGCTTGATATTCTTTCCTACGAAGCACCTTAGGAGGTTTCCCATGCTCCTATTCACTACTTTTGTCTGACCATCCGTGTCACGACTCGACCTGAGATTTGAATTTAACCGAGGCGGGTACAGAAGATCGGATTGTGGGAATTAACTTTTTTATATTCATTTAACAATTAACAATCGAAAAAATCACTAATCAAATTAAATTAAAATAGTATATTCAAATTTACATCGCTACTAGTTGCATGTGTTTTATATAAAGTAATTTCCTTTATAAATCTCATTTACTAATCACTTAATTAATATGAAAAGTTATTTTAAAATAACAATGAGCTAAACAAACCAGTGACTCATGTTCCTAAACTACAGTAATATAAGAGAAAAGAAAGTAATATACATGCTGATTAAACTTTTAATAAATCAATATAAGTATTTGATGTCATTCAAAAAAATCTAATTATATCAATAATACATTTATCATTATATATTCGTCAAACTATCACAAAAACACCGTTTAAAAATTTTGTACTAATTAATGTACTTCCATATCAATATTCTTTTTCATTTGCATAAGTACCTTAGTGTTTCCCCATTAGTTCTATAAATGAGTGATTCCATCATAATCAATCATGCATATAACAAACATACAATGAAGACATCACTTTTTAACAATAATTTTCTCGTTCTCATTTGCATATAAGCCAATATTCTTGTATAAAATTCAATATCTAAGATAATTTAAATAAAATTGAGCAAGCAAGTCATTCTTACAATATGAACAAAATTTATAGAATGCTAAATCATCAGTAGGCAATATTATAACAGTAATAGTAAATGCATTTAGTTGAGAAGAAATAAAATATTACTATAAAAAAAGAATATGAGTACTCATCTCGATGATAAACGATCTGTTAATGGTCTGTTTTTGACGGCTACAACTTATTTAAAAATTTTGTACTAATTAATGTACTTCCATATCAATATTCTTTTTCATTTGCATAAGTACCTTAGTGTTTCCCCATTAGTTCTATAAATGAGTGATTCCATCATAATCAATCATGCATATAACAAACATACAATGAAGACATCACTTTTTAACAATAATTTTCTCGTTCTCATTTGCATATAAGCCAATATTCTTGTATAAAATTCAATATCTAAGATAATTTAAATAAAATTGAGCAAGCAAGTCATTCTTACAATATGAACAAAATTTATAGAATGCTAAATCATCAGTAGGCAATATTATAACAGTAATAGTAAATGCATTTAGTTGAGAAGAAATAAAATATTACTATAAAAAAAGAATATGAGTACTCATCTCGATGATAAACGATCTGCTAATGGTCTGTTTTTGACGGCTACAACTTATTTAAAAGCTGCTGCACAACAGCTATGGCAGGAAGCTGCTGCGGATAATCTAACTGTTATATTGTTTTTAACAGTTTTGAAAAAAACTGTGCTGTAGCTATTTCGGAATAAATGACCTTTTTATCCCTTTTCTATAATGTTGTTTATAACAAAACTATTATTGCTAGCAAAATCCATACTTAAAAGTAAATATCTAGTTCAAACATTGCAAAATAAAAATGGACACCTCACTATACAGTAACACTAGAACCAAAATTAAACAAAAGACTATTAAATAATAATTAATAATATGATAATATTATTTTTAAAATGCATTTGGTGTATATCACGAGATAAGTGGTCATCCAAGGAAACTCTCCATGCCCGATCACTGTCTGTAATGAAATCTTCCAACCCATCCGCTCAATTAAAGAAGTCATAGTTTTTTGTTATTCTCCTTGGACTTGTAAAACTTTCTCCGATAACTATGTTGCTGTCGCGAAGTGAGAAATAAATATTATAATCCGCAGTAGCAGTACAATGATCTGGAGGTATCGAAATTCCTTGAGTTCATCTTTCTTGAATGCTTAAAACCACAGAACATTAATCCTTAGAAGCAACATTAGTGAAAATGAATACTAGAAGAAATTAATTAAATTTTTTTGCTGCTGTGAGGTTTTAGAGAGCATAACATATAAACTAGCGATTCTATCACTACAAGAAGACAACAAATTTTATAAAAAAAAGAGTTCTTGGCTGCCTTTAATCCACACTAAATTGCAAGAATGCATTGAAGATGTCCAAATAAAAAAAAAAATACCGCAATCCAAACAACGTAAATTGGTCCATCAAATAATATGAAGTTCACACATCCCGATTGTCGTAGTAATATCATAAGTAACTCATCTTACGTCAGCTTTCATCAACATGAAAAACTCTTCTGGTTTAGTCTTTTGACTTTATTGAGAATAAGTAAAATGATATGTCCTCATCAATTTCTGAAGTATCTTCCAAAATTCTTACAACCTGTTGAATAGAATTCGCATGTGACCAACTAGGCTCACTGGTGCATGAAGCTACCACTTCGGAGATCTAACTTCTAATAAAAGCAACACCATCTTTTTTCTTTTTCTCAACTTTGAACATTTGGATCGACTAGTAGATTCCACTTCATGTAGGTTGGGGTTGGACCCTTCATTGGATCCAGCAGATTGCTTCGATTCTAAATGCTTAGATCCAACTCCTTGCCATCACGCGCTTGGTGCCCATGCTTGATCACTTGTGGCTACCACTGCATCGAACATATGATCCAACTTATCTTCAAGCTCCTTGAATTTTTCACCGCTGGCACCACACCTACAAATCAATTAATAAAACTTTAGATTGATTAATGAAAACGTTGAAACTTTAAAATGATTTTACATTTCAAACATTCTAACATCCAATCTCTCGGTCCATCTTTCTTTAGAATCATTGCGGTTCGTTTTATAGGATCTCAACCCAAGCCCGTGGAACCTCACTTTAGCTCTTTTTATATTTTCCAATTCTTTTTTAATTGATTCCATTTATTTTTAAATTAGTTTCTATCATAATCTCTAGTTGTGCTTTTCCTTAAACTTTTTTATTATGTAACCTCTTTCCATATTTTTTAGCCCAAATGATCAATACCACCATTTCACACCAAACCAAACACCACTAAAATCATAGCACACAAACACCATTAACAACATAATCCCAAAAACCACTCAGAATCACCACCACCACCAACCATAGCACCATATTTCAACATCTCCAAATAGAGAATAGAGCTCCATATTTTGGTATCACCAACAACACCATAATTTCCACATTTCAACAAAATCTTATGTCACTTACAGCCCTCCCCCGCAAATCTATGGAGCAAAATCCAACATCA